TGGAATTACTCGGAAAATTCGTGCTGGGGAGGCAGGCAGCAGCAGGGGGTATAGCTCAGTGGTAGAGCATTTGACTGCAGATCAAGAGGTCCCCGGTTCAAATCCGGGTGCCCCCTTGGATTGTTATTTTTCTCAGGATACTTAAAGGACTAGGAGCTGTGAGAAGCACAGTCTGATCATTTTTACCTCCTTACAAGGCTGATGAATGTGGCTCTGTGTCCCCAGTAAGGGTTATTCTGTCCTTTTTTGGAAGGGCTGCATCTTTTTAAAGCGAGGTTTTTCTCTCTGGCTTCGTGCTGAGCTCAGCTCGTTGCTGGCTTTCACATTACAGAACAACAGAGAAGTCACGGCCAAAATTGTTTCAAATAAATGTCCTTTGAGAGTCTGCTGACTTGACTCTTGGTAGCAGCTCTCTGTAGAAGGTAGTGAGGTTGGTGGCCCTGCGTGTGGCAGGGGGGTTGGAGCTTCATGATCCTTGAGGTCCCTTCCAACCCTGGGCATTCTGTGATTCTGTGTGTGTGTGTTAGGACAGCCAGGGATGCATTAAATGAAGGAATCTAAGCAGCTGGGATCAACTCTGAGCTCTGTGCGTAGGTTGCTTAAAAATCACCTTGTGCAGGTGCTGCTTCAAGGGGGTATAGCTCAGTGGTAGAGCATTTGACTGCAGATCAAGAGGTCCCTGGTTCAACTCCAGGTGCCCCCTTTGGATTGTGTGTTTTTTCTGAGATAAAACACGAGGAGCATTCCTTTTTTTAAGACCCTGTCTGCCTGTGCCTTGCACAGAAAGCCAGCTGCTCTGTCCATATCTGTGTTCTTGACATCAACTGAACACATACAGTCATAATGAACATTTGCATCAGTAACACATTTTTGCCTTTTAATGTATAGGCACAGTGCAATTCTTATTGCCTGTAGTTGCTTTAGCATGTGTATTAGGAATCACAGAAAGCTGATCTAGAGGAACTGTAAGCAGCAGACATAAGTGGTCTCCGTGCATTTGTTCCTTAATGCTCCTTGTTCAGGTACAGAAGCAGGGGGTATAGCTCAGTGGTAGAGCATTTGACTGCAGATCAAGAGGTCCCTGGTTCAACTCCAGGTGCCCCCTCTTTACCTTCCTTTTCCACCCTTCTTCCCAAATCCTTTGCAGACATAACGTGGCAGTGTCCTTATTCCTCTGAGATCTTACAAATCTCCTGACTTTCTTTTACCAGCTGCGAAGTCTCAGTTTTCCATTTTTCCTGTGGTTTAGCTCAACACTTCATGTCTACACAATCAGCACGATGCCAGTGTGGGGAGGAAGGTCTCGTTTTTCCTGCCTGAATAATTACCATTAATTACACAGGAGGCTGTAAGCACAAGGTCGTTCTAGAAAAAAGGACCTCGCCTGAAGTGTTTTTTGTAGGCAGCTGGAGTGGGAGGGCAGCGCTCAGCCCGGGCCGGGTGCCATGGGGACGGAGCCGCAGCCAAGCACTGCTGTCCGTGCCCCGGAGGGGATCGAACCCGGATCCCCAGCAGCCGCAGGCAGCCGCGCTGCCCTTGAGCCACGCCCCAGCGCCGGGCCGCCCCAGGCGCGCAGTTTCGCGGGCTCACGTAGCCCAGGGGCAAAGCGCCGGGCTGGGAGCCGGAAGGTCGCCGGTTCTAAGCCCGCACCGAGCGCTGAGGTGACCCCTCTCACAACCTGGAAGTTTTGCCAGGGGACATCGCGCTTCGTTACAGACCTCCGGGAAACGGCGTGAGGACGGCAAAGCGAGCGGCCTGTAGCTCCGGTCATCGCTGCGAGCGCGGCACGTTGTATTCGGCACCGTTAAACGTGTGCGTTTACTTCAGATTTATCTCACGTCATTGCTTAATCGTTATTTTTCTTTTCCGGATGAGAACCGGAGCCGCAGCGATGCGCCGGGGCCAGCAGGAATCCGCTCGCTTCCATCCGCCGTCATCCTGCCGGAAGTGACGTTTACAAAGAGCGCCGCGCGGGAGCAGGCGCGTGTTGATGACGTCACCGCACTTCCGGTTCATGCCCTCGGGCCTCCAGGCCGTCCTTAAGGGCCCTGCGGGGTCGTTGTGGGGCTGCGGGCTCTGCGCCGCGCGGGGCCGGTATGGAAGCGTGAAGCCCATGGGGAACGCGGAGGAGCTGCGGTGGTTTGCGGGGGTAGAAGCCGCCGTGCGCTGAAGGTGCGGGCGTCGCCTGGTGAGGGGCGGTGGGCGCCCGGTTGGGGGGGGTTGGGAAGTTTGGGGTGAAACCTGCGGCCTTGTAGCGGCTGGTAACGGCCTCAGACTGCGGCGCCGGTTGGGCACCGGAATGTTTCCTCTTAATAAGTGTGGGCACTGCGTTGGAGGAAGCTCGTGACTCATTTTTCCTGTTTTTAATTAAGTGCTAGCTAAGGTGTTCTTTAGCTGTGATGCATTTGCTGCTGGCGTTATATATATACATATTAATATATAAAGTCATGTCTCTTACGCTCAATGTTTGCACTTGTTCTCCCGGAGTAGTGCCTTTAACTTTAGGCCTCTCGAATAGAGGAAGAGAAAGTAAGCTGTACGTGTTAAAGCTTCTAAAGTGGGCTTAACTTGCAAGATTCCTGCGTGCCCACCTCCTCCAGTTACTCCATTAAGTGCTGCTGAGGATCTTGTAGCAAAGCAGCATCCACACTGCTGCACACTCAAACAGTAGATAACCTGTTTTCAGCCTTATTTCTCTGTATGGCCCTGTTCCAAATTGCTGTAGGCTGCAATGCTTTGTAATGGTTGGCAGAAATCTGCTTTTCTGCAAAAATTGGCTCTTTCCCTCAGGTTTATGCATGGTTAGCTCTCAGTCACTGAAAGCTTTCAAACCTCACCTTTTGTTCTTTCTCACATTGCTTGCAGCAAAATACTCAGGCACCCAGAGAGGGGTGGGCAGTGGATTAACTGTGTAACTAAGGGGCAGAAGAGAGGCACTTCAACAGAAGACGTCTCGGTGTTGCAGGTACGTGTCCATCTCACACCTCTTCAGAAGGGCTTACTTGGAGTCAAACGCTTTGCTCAAGGGGGAAAAAAAGTCACCTGAAAAACTCTCTTTCCCTACTCAAGGCATGGCGCAACAGCAGTTAGCTGTAAGAGGTTGGGTGTTTGCTTTCCCTTTACCCCAGGCTGTAGGCAGACAGCAGGGGAGGCGGGGAGGCTGCGGGCAGTGCAGGAGGTGCAGAGTGAGGCAGCAGCTCTGGGAGATTTGTGTGCTGAGAGCAAACAGAGGCAAAGGTGAGTGCCTCCAAAGCTGCTGTGAGGTGGCTGCTGCCACGTGTTCTTTCTGTGGTGAGACAAAGCAAGCAGGGATCTCACTGGTTTGTTCCTCCAAGAGTTTGCAAGTATGAGAAGCAGAGAGGAGGTTAATGAAAGGGATGTTGTGTGGGAGCCAGAACCGGGAGTGCAGGCAGTGGAATGCAGCAGTGCCACCGTCAGTGGCCACAAAGGGCCTCACCTGGCAGGTGCTGCACAGGTGGGGGTATAGCTCAGGGGTAGAGCATTTGACTGCAGATCAAGAGGTCCCCGGTTCAAATCCGGGTGCCCCCTCCCCTTTGCCTCTTTTTTCTGCCCCACTAATTGATTTTCAGCTTCTCACTTGACTCTCTTTCCCCCAGCTGTCTGCACGGGATGTCCCTTGGCGAGTGCAGCAATGACCGGGTGCCAAGAAGTAGATTGCCACGTGAAGAGGACTGGCAGCAGAGTGTTGGTGAGCAGAGACCTGAGCGTTTCCTTAAGCACTGCTTTTTGCACTGGCAATAATTGGCAGGAATGTATTCATCCTTGGAATTACTCGGAAAATTCGTGCTGGGGAGGCAGGCAGCAGCAGGGGGTATAGCTCAGTGGTAGAGCATTTGACTGCAGATCAAGAGGTCCCTGGTTCAACTCCAGGTGCCCCCTTCATGTGGTGGACTTTTTTTCTAGAGAAGAATCGTGAGGAGCATTCCTTCTTTTGTCTGCTTGTGCTTTTTCCAGGGTGTTGCTTTCCAAAATTCCATGTTCATGATACTGAGGATTCATCTAAGGATATACAGCCCAAATCGATGTCTGTATCAGTGTAAAGGCATTGTGCCAGTTGCTGGGCCATAGTAGTTTTTAGATCAGTGAGGAAACTGGACTGGTTCTAGCCTGTGTAATGTCTGTACAGTGTAGCTGTCTGTAATTCTGGTTGTCTGGGCTCTGTGAATTGGTTTTTTAATGCTCCTTGTTCAGTTCTTAAGCCAAGGGGGTATAGCTCAGTGGTAGAGCATTTGACTGCAGATCAAGAGGTCCCTGGTTCAACTCCAGGTGCCCCCTCTTTACCTTCTTTTCCCAATTTCCTTTTGCCAAAATTCATCACAGGAAGAAGATGGACACAATCCTCTTCAGTCTTGTGAGCTTGTGCTGTGTGTTGAAGTTGTGATATTCAAGATCCTGAGCAGCTGCCTGGTGGGGCTTCTGCACTGCGTGAGCACACTGTATGTATTTGTCTGTTCTTGATTCCCTGTGATAACTCCCTCATACATTATGGAATGTACATGGGTAGGCCAGGGGCTGTCAAGTAAGGGAATCTAAACAGTGGATATCAGTCAACTGTGGGTTCTGTGAATAAACTTGTTTAAAAAATCACCTTGTGCAGGTGCTGCTTCAAGGGGGTATAGCTCAGTGGTAGAGCATTTGACTGCAGATCAAGAGGTCCCTGGTTCAACTCCAGGTGCCCCCTTCAGCTTGTATTTTTATTCAAAGATAAATATGAAGAACATTTCTTTTCTTTTTTTTTTTTCCTTAGATCTGTTTGCTTGTGCTTTGCTCTGAGGGCTGGTCTCTCAACTTCCATCTTCATAACTCTGAGAACTCATCTAAACATGCGTGGTCAAATCAATACCAAACAAAAGAATCTAACCAGTGGACATCAAAACTGAGCTCTCTATATATTCCTTTCTTCCTCTGTATCTTTTATAGTTCTTAAGCCAAGGGGGTATAGCTCAGTGGTAGAGCATTTGACTGCAGATCAAGAGGTCCCTGGTTCAACTCCAGGTGCCCCCTTTGGATTGTGTGTTTTTTGTTTGGTTGATTGTTCCTCCCAAAGGTAAATATGAAGAGTATTCTCCTCACTTTTAGGTCCTGTGTGCTTCTGCTTTGCTTGCAGGCCTCACCACCAAACGTCCCTGTTCAAGATGCTGAGCACTCATCTGAAGAATTATGACCAAACCAAACTTCTGCTTTATGTATTTGTTTTTCATTGCTCCTTGTCTGCTTGCTCAGCCAGGGGGGTATAGCTCAGTGGTAGAGCATTTGACTGCAGATCAAGAGGTCCCTGGTTCAACTCCAGGTGCCCCCTCTTTACCTTCTTTTCCAACCTTTCTTCTTCCCAAGTTCTTCATAGACAGGATTCTTGTTCTTCAGAGGTCTTCAAGATCACTTGTACCAAACTTCTACCATAAAAAAAGGTTTCTAGTTTTCTTGTGGTTCTCCTGAGCAGCACACGCACACACAAATAGCATAGTGCAGTAGAGGTGATGCAGGTCTAGTTTTTCCTGCCTGAGCAGTTGTTGCTAATTGAAGTAATTTCTAGAAAGCCACATACTCAGTGTATGACAGGTGTCTGTGCCCCCGCGGGGATCGAACCCGGCACCCCAGCAGCCGCAGGCAGCCGCGCTGCCCCTGAGCCACGCCCCCACCACTGAACCGCCCCAAAGCCGCGTTTCGCGGGCTTACGTAGCTCAGGGGCAAAGCGCCGGGCTGGGAGCCGGAACGTCCCCGGTTCTAAACCCGCACCGAGCAGCGAGGAACCTCGCTCGTGTCCTCGAATTTTCGCTGGGCGACATCGCGGTTCGGTGCACAGCCCTGAGGAACGGGTGAGAACGGCAAACAGCGGCCTGCAGCTCCGCTCATCGCTACAGCACGCCGCAGCACCAGGCGCTGCCCGCCTCTTTTCTATCCCTTTGCCGGGACCTTTCAGCCCCCGCCGGAAGTGACGTATATCACACGCGACGCGTAGGGAGGCGACGGCGGCGCACGTTGATGACGTACGGCGGGCCCGCTAACTGAGGGGAAGCCGAGCAGCCATGGGGGGAGGCGACTTGGTGAGATGGGGTCCGGAATGTGGAGGGGACCGGGAGCTTCAGGCCGCTGGGATCCCGGTGACACCTCCGGGCCTGGGGCGGGCCGTCCGTTCTTGCTGTTCGTGGCGGGGCTGGGCCCAGCGCTGCGGCGCTGCTCGGTGAGAGAACGGCCGGGGCCTTCGGTAAGGGGCCCTGTGCCACATCCCGCGTTCCTTGCAGAACCTGAAGAAGAGCTGGCACCCCCAGACCCTGCGCAATGTGGAGAAGGTGTGGAAGGCCGAGCAGAAATATGAGGCCGAGAGGAAGAAGATCGAGGAGCTGCAGCGGGAGCTGCAGGAGGAAAGGGCCCGAGAGGAGATGCAGCGATATGCTGAGGATATGGGCACTGTACGGTGAGCAGAGGCAGGGCCTGAGCGTGGGGCTGCCGGTCCTGGCAGGGGGAGGAGCAGTGCTTCGTGTTGAGGGGGTCCATGTGCTTCTCGTACCTCTGAGAAACAGAGATTTTAACACTGAATTTATAATTTCTGTAATGCTAGAAGCTTTCCACTTACTTCATAAGCTTTAAACTGTAGCTTTATACCTCCGTGACAGAAAATATGATGATTTGTTTGCAATAGGAAAAGAGAAGAAAAGTTGGAGTGGATGTACCAGGGTCCTGGGGGCATGGTGAACAGAGAGGAGTATCTCATGGGTCGCCCTGTGGACAAATACATCTTTGAGAAGACAGAAGACAAGGATGCTGGCTGCTCCAACGAGACAGGACTGCTGCCAGGCTCCATTTTTGCCAAGTCAGGTGCCAATTCTGTCCTGGACATGGCAAACAAAATCCGGGAGGATCCACTTTTCATGATAAGGTACTTAACGTGGAGCCAAATACAGGAATGAATCAGGCAATGCATCAGTGATGGCAGCTTGACGAGAGCTGTTTTATTTGTGGAAAGTTTGCATGTAAATGCCAAGGTTGTTTTTCTTCATTGGCTCATATATGCAAATTTAGGTCACTCTTTTGTATGTGTGTGAATGCATCTGGTTGGCAGCAGTGTAGCCAGATAGATATTAACAGAACAAAAATTTGGCTTAACTTCCTAGTTGCACTCTGTAGTGGAGAGGAAAAGGACAGACTTTGCATGAGTTGGACTTGTGTTGCAGAATGAACAAAACTTGGCTGTTAGAGCTTGCTTTAGTTTTGTATCTTTTGTGAAAACGATGTTTAGAGTTGCTTGAAAATACTAATACTCTTATTTGATCTGCTTTAGAAAGAGAGAGGAGGAGAAGAAGAGGGAGGTTCTGAATAATCCTGTAAAAATGAAGAAAATCAAAGAGTTGGTAGGTGACTCCATTATGCTTTTTGGGTCTGTGCACATACCTTGCTGGAGTTTCTTTTGTACCAGGAGAACTCCATTTCTTTGCCCTTGCCTTATGATACTGACTGCCTGAGCGCAGGGACAGTAATTGCTGCTAATAAATTGGTGTCTTTCTTTATAGCTGCAAAACAGTTTAGATAAAAAAGAGAAAAAGAAGAAGAAAGAGAAGAAGAAGAAGCACAAGAAGCACCGACGTCGCAGCTCTAGCAGTGAAAGTGCCAGCAGTGATGAGGAGCGAAGCAAAGCCAGGTATGTTTTATTTTCTTTACTGTCTTGTTTGTTTTTCATCTGTTTCTGACCTTCTTTGAATCTCATCTTTCTAATTAATGCTCTTCATTTGCTTAAATATTACTGTATTAGTACTTTTGTTTTTGCATCAGTATCTTATTTTTGACATTTTAATACGCAAAATATAGGATTATTGAAGCTCATTTGCTTCAAAAGTACTGTTCTCTTTTTTATTTAGGTCTCAGAAGAAGGCTAACAGTTCCTCCTGGAAAGCCATTCCTTCTAAAGTGCCAGGATATGGCTTACAGGTAAGTCAGTCTGTTTTTTTATGTCTTTTCAGTAGCAAACTTATGGGTTAGGGAGCAGCAAAAGATCAGCTTGCTGCACGAGGCTGCTTCTCCCAGTAGAAGAGGACTATGAGTGATACATGATTTAATGATGTTCACATTCGACTTGGTGCCTCTGAGCCCTAACCTGAAACTCTTTGGATCCTAGTAGGACTTCTGTCCTCTCTAAGTTCAAGTTGAGTTTTAATTAGTTTCCCTTCCCAGAGTCACACATCTGTTTAAATATTGTATGTGATTGTCATAGCAGTTAGTTTACTGAGCATCACAAAAATCTTTTTAGACAAAGGTGTTCATAGGAACCTAGGGAGTGAGATAAGTAAGTGCAAAGCAAGATGTACACTGCCTATAGCCCAACCTGAGGCTTCTGCAGCCTCATTATGTTGTGATGCTCTGACAGGACATCTCTCCTGATGGGCGCTTTTGGATTTCAGGTTAGAGACTCTGACAAGAACCACAGATCTCGGAGTTCTCCAGCTGCTGGGCAGGGCAGAGCCTCCCACAGGCACCGGGAGCGCTCCAGGTCCAGGAGCACATCCCACTCCCCACAGAGATGCACTAACAAGAAGAGCACAGAGCAATCTGGATGCAGGGGGTCGAGATCTCCTTCCAGACACAGTAAACAGTGAGTGTGGCTAAGCTGGATAATATGAACTGAAAGCTGCAGGGGGGGGGGAGGTGTTCAGGGATCAAAATCCCTGCTAAAAAATCCAGGTAAAGTTTAGAGATGTGATAATGTGTCTATATCTCCTAAAAAAAGGGGTGTTTTGGGGTTGTAGACATAGCAGTCGAGAGGAGAAAGGGAAAGCAAGAAGTCCTTCCCCCAAAAAGAGCTATCGGCGACAGCACCTGCCAGGTTACACCAGGTAAACAAAATCTTCTCTGTGGTTTTTTGGGTGAATGGTTGTGAAACAGCTGGATATCATCTGTGAACCAAATCTTATTCTGTTGTCTAGAACGGACTGTATCAGGCATCCAGACAGGCACACACTGTCCTGAAGTGCTTGGTCTGATCTTAGCTCTTGAGCTTAGTTGTCAGCTAACTCCTTCAGCCTCCCAAACTTCGTGGAATGGTTTTAATTCTCTGCGTGCCTCACAGTGAGGTGAAATCAGTCTTTGTCTGATCGGTTAATTAAAAGCCTTCTGTTTAACTTTGATCTTGACAGTATCATCTTATCAATCAATTAAAAAAGAAAAGCTAAAAGGGGGAAAACAAGCTCTTGCTAGAGTTGTTTGGTTGTTTAGACTTGTACTAAAAAGCTTTGGGAGCCAAAGGAAAAGCAATTATTAAACACCCCTGACTTTGGGGATTATTAGTCTTGAAGATTGGGAAGGAAGAGCTGGGTTGGATCTAGCATGCTACTGGTTTATGGCAGTGCTGTTTTCTGTACAAACAGAAAGATCTCTCCAGAGGAACTGGAGCGTAAACGCCAGGAAATGATGGAAAACGCCAAGTGGAGGGAAGAGGAGAGGGTGAACAACCTCAAGAAGCACCGAAAGGAGGAGGAACTGGAGAGAGAACTGGAGAAACTCGACTCCGGAGATGGAAAGTTCTTGCAGTGAGTGTCTTGGTGGTGTTCATTTTTTGCATTTGTGGGAAGTACAGGGCACAGCTTCTCAGGAGTGTGTGATGGCATCAACGTTTGGGATGAAAATACTGAGCACTGACCTTAAATACAGTATTGAATCTGTTAGAAGCCAAACTAAAAGCTATTCAGTTCTTTCGGTGCAGACTTTGATATGAAATCATTTGCTGCTTTCCATTTTAGAATCACGTAGTTAATTGACTTGGGGATAACGAACCCTGCTGGAAACAATGGGAAGAGATTGATTTCTTTTTTTTTTTCCTGCAGTCACTTTAAACTGGAGAGTGCTTCTACTTCCACTTTAGAAGATCGGGTGAAGCGGAACATCCACTCCCTTCAGAGAACTCCTGCTGCCTTGGAAAAAAACTTTATGCAGAGATGAAGTTTGTTCTTCCTCTGCTTCTGTGCAGGAGTTAATTGGACACTTGTTCCCCAAGGTGAGAGGAACACACTCAGCACACACTCAGTTCTCTCTCCAGGACCATCTCCCAAAGAGCTGCTGAATTTCTGTGCTGCAGCCCACAGCGTGTTCTGAACTTCTGGCACTGTAAATATGTTTGTAACGAGGGTGATCCCTCAGGCAGACCTTAGCTGGAGAACTCGTGAGCCCTTGTATCCTACAGCACATTGCCAGATCTCTTCCTGTTCTCCACCTTGATTCGTACCGGTTTTGTATATTGTTGTTATTATTAGATGATGCTGGGTGGTAATTGCTTTCTACACTGGGCAGATTATCTGTGCTCTTTGTTTGTGAGAGCGAAAGACCTATTTTTGCTAGTCCTTAGAAATCAGAACAGAACAAATTCATGTGAGGTAACTGGATGTGATAAAGCTGTGTGATGGACTGGTGCCATTCTGCTTGACTGCAGTCGTTCTGCTGTGGGTTTGGAGGGAGAGCTCAGACCAGGCTGTAAAATATCTGTAGCCATTATTTGATTCTGCTCACCTATTTCAATGCTGTTTGACCCAAAGGGAGCAGCTTCACAGGGAAAGGAAATGAGCAGAGCAGAACTGATGCAACAAATATCTCTCTGGGATTTTGTAATGTAAGTAATGTGTATATGTACAGCAGTGAAGATTGTTTTGCTTCTTTTTTTTTTTTAAAGGAGAAACTTTACGATTTTTAAATGTTTTTTTTGTGGCTTTGTCGGGGCGACGGTGTTGGTTTCGCTGCCAAAGGGGCTGACGGACCGAGGGCTGCGTGCGGCCACCGGCTCAGTGCGCGGAGCTGCGCGCTGCGGGCCCTTTAAGAGGCGGCAGTGACGTGCTCAGCGGCCCATTCATAATTCCAGGCGCCTCGCCGCTTATTGGCTCGCTCGGAAAGGGGCGTGGCTTGGGTCGCTACGTCACGCGGGGTGGGCGAAACCATCTCCGCGCAGAGGGGGAGGGAGGTGCCTTTGTTTCCCCTTTCCCCCCCTTTCTGCCCGCCGCTCCAGCCGGTTCCGCTCGCAGCCCGGGCCGCGTTTCGTTTTTTCCCTCCCCTCCGCACGCTGAGGCGAAGCGAACCGACGCTCGGCGCCGCGCTGCCCCCCCTGCATCCCCCGTCTCTCCCCCGCGGGTCGCGGCCATGGCAGCTCCCCATCCCCTCCTCCTTCGCCTTCCGCCATCTTGGCGCCTCCTTAGAGCGGCGCCGAGCGCTCGGCCGGCGGTGGAGCGAACCACCGCAGGGGCGGGGAAAGGGGGGAGGGAGGGAGGGAGGCGGGGACGGAACAACCGCCGCGGGGAGAGCAGCGAGCTGGGAGCGGAGCGGCCGAGCCGGCCCCAGGGGTGACGGAGGCGGCCGGAACCGCTGAGAGCAGAGGGGCGTGCGCCGGGCCGGGCGGTGCCATGCGGAGGCGCTGGTAGGGGAGCGCCGGGGGAGGGGGGCTTTGCGGGGCCGTTCGGAGGCCGCCATGGCCTCGAATTGCGCTGGGGGATCGGCGGCTGGGAGCGGCGGAGCGGCTTTGGGTTCGGCACTCAGCGCCAGCAAAACCAAGACCAAGAAAAAACATTTCGTGTGCCAGAAGGTGAAGCTGTTCCGGGCTTCGGAGCCGCTGCTCAGCGTCCTCATGTGGGGGGCCAACCATACGGTGAGCAGCGGGCGGAACCCCCCACCCCACATCCCCCCCCCTTCCCTCCCGTCGGGGCGAAGCCTTCACCCCAGCGCCCTGCCTGCCGTAGGGGCTCGGAAGGGAACCCCCCTCAGCCCCG